ATCCGCTTATTGATATTACAATCTAAAACACAAACAAATAGATCACAGTTTTTTTAAAAAACGTTTAATTAATTTAATACTCCTAAATGACCATTTCTAATTTTAAAATTGAATAAAATTTAAGAAATTAAGCGTGTTACGAGGCCGCTTTATTTATCTATTTAAACAGCAAGAAACACATAAATGCATGATGAACACGAACGCGCGCGAAATCTACAAATGTCTCGCTTGGTAACAACAACTACTGTAGATAAATTAAACTAAATCCATTTAAAACAAACTTCATGTCCTGCTCATATATCGCATACATTATTCACATAGCTATTATCAACTTATTACGAATATATTTCGCTGTTCATTTACAAAACGATGAGAATGACTTATCAAGCACTGGCTTATTTGGGTATCTATCGTGTTTTAATTTATTCATCTCCTGCTCTTCGGTCGTAGAATTGAAGAAATAAAACAGCCAAAGCAACATCTAGCCCTTCTACTACTTTATCAATATCAGTACATAGTTTTAAGAACCTCTTAGGCAAAGGAATACAGATCTTTATTCAATTTATAAGACAAAGAAGAAGTTGGACGATAAACTGGCAGGAAAAAGGGCCCCCCAAGCCTAAACTTTGTCCTTGCTTCTAGAGTGTATTATTCAAACGAAAACTTATTTAATGGACCTTTCGCTCAGTTTATGAATGTTTTCATCATTATTCTTTCATCGCATGAAAAAATCATAGCGATCCCAGTCGCATTTTGCATGTTTTGAGTTCATTTATAATCATTGGCAATTTCACTGCGCAGTAAAAAGCCTAATTTTAGCCATGAGAAAATTTACCTACCTCCACTTCTCTTCTCCTCGTTCGCGAATGGTTTGGCCAAAAAGCCAGCCAAAACTGTCTTTAGAAACCGGAAGTGTTTGGCTAATCATCGGATAGCTTCGGATTAAGTAGAAAAATAAAGGCAACGAGATTTTTTAAGTTGAATTTTTTTTGGCCGGATACTGGTGCCGGCAGGATACTGGGCCAGACACTGTATTGTAAATATGTTGTTTTCCCAAGGCCCATGGATTCGACTCGGTAAACTAAGGACACGTCGGGCTCTTTGGGTCGAAAATTTTCTCATTTCACGCCCCGAGTGGCACACTGGGTAATTATCTTAAAAACGATACCGCTTGGTAAAATCGTGGGCTTAAAAAAACATGGCGTCAGAACAAATGAAGCAGAGAGTGAGATCAATCGTGTTAAGTTGGAAGCTTTCAGTAAAGACCGAAAGCAAACGTGATGAATTATTCATTGATAACGTTTATAAAGAACTCAAATCACTTATGGAGACGATAATGGAGAAACACGATGGTTCTATCGCCGAAAATACAAAAAAATGCCATCAAGTAGTTGATATTGGTCCTATGGCCTTTCGAACACTAGTTAAAATTCACGACGCTATATATCGAAGACTTAGAAGTACCCCAACTACATCGTCTCCATATTTCTGCAGCTTTAAGCAGGAGGTACAACAAGAAGTTTTCAATGTTTTAAGGAAACAGATTATAGAACAAAATAGTTTTGGACATACCTCTACATCAACCAATGCGTGTGTTACGATTGTGTTCGAAGACAAGAGGAAATCTGTCTACATGATGAACAAGGTTATCGAAAATGGTTTTTACTTGGAAAAAAGTGAGATGTTTAAAAGAAAATTTGAGGACGGAGGTGTTGCAGAAGTACTGTTGTCTAGAGATAAGCCACTCACCTTTAAATACAGCCTCAAGAAGGAATTCCTTTCAATGTCATTGAACTATGGGTATTGGAACTCTTTTGGTACTCCTCAGCACTGAACTTATTAGTTTAGCATTCGAATTCTTGCTCTTCCAATGAGGTAAAATGTCGCACAGTTTCTTTTTGTCATTATGTTATGATTAACACAGGAAAAAAATGATTCGCCCATAGAGATCAATATTACTTCTTTATCAAACGATTACATAATGATGAGTACTTTAAGTTTTTAAATAGAGAACTTCAACTATACATGTCAATGTTTTCAGACAGGTATCGATTTGAATGCTATTATGACAGCACAGTTGATACATGATTATGTTAACCTGTCTTAATTTACATGCAAATATTAGGTGATGCGTAGTTGAGGTATCATCTCCTTAAGCTTTCTGTTGACATTTCCATCCTGGCATGATTGCATCACTGCTTTGGACATATCTGAGTAACAAACATCACAGGCGGTCTCGGAACTTGACTTTGGCTGACCACAGTAACAAAATTTGTTGTTGCTTAGGCAGTATGGAGGGAGATACTTATCCTTAGCCATATAAGCTCCATGAACTCATGTTTAAAAATTTGCCACCAACGCAGATGCTTACCCTTAGTAGTATTTTTAGCGTAGCATGCAAGCTTTGCATGTTTTGCTTCTCTGCATTGCATGCTATTTAGTCCCAACCCAAACCCTAAATCATTATACATCTCAGCTGTGTAATAAGGGATAGCTTTACCAATTGTCCATGTGGTTTGATTCCGTGTAAAAGAATAGCTTGGCACTTGTAATATTGTTCACACTCATTTCGAAGACAATTGATATCACTCTCATTGATATGAACTCTGCTTAAGAGGGAAACACAGTTCCGTAAGCAAAGGCCTGCATACGCAAGACTGTAAACATGTAGTAAGGTAGTCTTAGAGATACCTGGAAGAAAGATATTTATAAAATTTATTAAAAATATAAAGTATTCCTTGTTTGTTTAGAGTCCTATTCATAATCATTGTAAAAAAAAAACTACATCACATTACAAATATTGTTACATATAGACAAATATGAAAAATAAAGATTATTTACTGATGAGTGATACTGTACCTTTAGAAGCAATCAGAGTTTTACAAATTTTCATAAAATGCCAGCGAAAGAGTTTGGCCTCTTTTCCTGTAAATCTGTATGAGAAATCTTCAGTTTTTTTCTTTTCACTGAACCATTTCACCAGATTCTTGTACAGTCTGCCAGCCTTCATCATTTTGTCATCATAATTTCATTACTCATGTCTTGAAAGAAGTAAAAAAAAGCAATGATAAAAAATTGAATGGAAATTATTAAAAAAAATTAAAACTAAAAATTAATTCAAACAGTAGTGTTAATAGCAAGCAAAATGTTATTAGGTTCTGTTATAAAATTCTGTTACATATTTTATAAGAATTTTAATTCAAGCTTCCAGCTGAGGGGTGAATTAACTTAATGATTTTATAATTAGATATTAATGAAAATAATTGATTTATAGTTACCTCAAGATCTAACACATCTCCCATATTGATGCCTTTTATATATGACACTAGTCTATCATAGGCTACAGGTCTTGGTACTGGGACATCTGACATGAAGTTAATTCTTTCATTTCTCATTTCCTTGTATTTCACTTTTGTTAAGATCCCTCCTTTATAAAGCAAAGCTGTACTTCGTATGAAGTTGTCTTCACTATTTTCATAACTTAGCACATTTTTCTTTACAATGTTTGGAATAACTTTGCTAGTGCAAAACTTGGAGGTTCCTATTAAAGACTCCATAAACTTTACTGAGTTATTATTGACCAAAGTTGACCACATTCCGTTCATTATTGGTTTATTATCAGTTGATCTTGGAGTGCAGTGAACTTCCCTCAAAACCTTTATTGTTGCAGTGCGCCTTCGATGACTTTGGGCTTTAGATAAATCAAGGAAGTCACTGTTTTCTTTGTTGAGATTGCTTTGTGTGTTTGGCAACCTTGCCTTTYGTTTTGATGAAGGAAGCTGYTCKTCCARGTCATCACACTGCAAATTWCAGRACAAAAAGTGATTCATAATTTAAAAGTGTCATTCAAAGATTGAATAATTTTTGAATTATGTTTTTCAGTGCGATCAATTATTTAAGTGGTCTTCAATAAGATTTACATTTTCACATAAAGTTATGTTTACATAATGTATAGAAAATATATTAAGCTTATAAGAGAGCTTGTATCAACTAGTTTGATTCCAGCTTTGTAATTTAAAGATAGTAAAATAAAATAAAAGTTTTAAGGGATTTACAAGTAACAGGTTTCAATATGATCTATATTTTTGGAAAGCCTAGTAGGTTTTAATGTGTGGGCATGTACACACAAGAAAACAAAGTAAGCTTTTATTTAGACCATGGCAAAATATCAGCCTATAAATGCATACTATGAAATGAGTACAACACGATGCTTACAACATTACAAGGCCATTGCTTTTAATCTATAAGTTATATGCTTTCCTACAATCTGAAGCAATGAATAGTCCAATCAAAAATACAGTAATCCAAAGAAAAGCCCACCTTTCGTTTTCTATAATTCGGCTTGTTCTGGAAGCTCTTGAGCTTGACATCTGTGGCTATTTTTTCATCTACTAGCTTTTCCATAATGAGCTTTCTTCGTTTAGCATATAAACCAACGTTGAACCGTCCTTTCTGCTTTGGTGCAAGCGGAGTACATGTGTCTACAAACTCGCTGGTAGAACTTGTCGAATCCTGTGAGCTAATGAACATGTCAATATATCAATACAAAGCTTGGAAAGTGCACTACAAATCTGTCGTTTTAATTTTTTTATTTAAAGTGTTTTTCTCAATAAAAAATAATCCAGAAAGAGCTTCTAGTTTGTCAAAAGCATGAGCAAAAATACTTACCTAATAAGCGTTGTCTGTGTCGGAGAAGCATCCATAGATTTAGGCAAGTTAAACACCAAAATAGAGCTTTTTTACGATCTTTTCGATTTTGCCGCCATTTTTGGTGCAAATATGTTCCCCTTGGGGGCAGAGACGGTCAAAAGAAGGCATATTTTAATATTTTATAGCAAAGCTGGTAACCGAGATCGTCCCATTCTCACTTTCGGCTGAATTGAAAGAGACAATTTTCGACCCAAATAGCCCGAAGTGGGATTTTTAAAGCAAAATTGAAGCAATTAATAATATAAGTTCTTATATAGCGCGTCCTAATAAACTCCAGGCGCTTTACAATAAACTATATAGAGATCGTAACCTTCGTGCTTTCTTGGTTAAAGGAATTCTTCCATCCGATAAAGAACSTGGTACTTTTCGTTGTTCTCGCAAACGCTGTAATACATGTCCTTTTATTGCTCTTCGCACGTCTGTCACAGGTCCTAAATCAACTGTTAACATTACTGACTACTTTGATTGCACCTCATTCAATGTTATTTCTTGTATTCAGTGTTCTAACTGTAACCAGCTTTACATCGGAGAAACTGGTCGTCGTTTAGGTGACTGTATAAGGGATTACCTCAATGATATAAAATTTTTTGGTTTACTCCGATGAAGGACTAACGTCCGAAACGTCAGTTTCATTTTTACATACCATACGGTGTTACAAATTATCTATCTATCAACTGTTTTACAATAAACTAATTTATGTATACGATATATAGAGGATATTACATGGTCGCGAGGAGATATGAATTTTATCTTCGAGTGTTGAAAATGATATCCCACGAGTGAGCGCAGCGCATTTGTACCTTTGAATGACGAAATGAACGATATTTTTTCCTGTTGTTTGTCTGATAAAGAGGAATTTATATTACGATGGCCAGTAATTTGCATTATCTGAGTAGGTGGAAATTCGTTGTTTAATATCTGAACGAGGTGCTTTCGAGCACTGTGGTTAGTCAACCTTTTATTTCCATATCTTTCAATATACTATTGAGCTTGTTTATTCCAATTGGCTGTGCTTTGAACCAAGGTCGCATTGAGAGAGAGAAAGGCTGAACATTATTGACTGCCAAGTAGAACGGAGAGTCATTTGTATTCATGGTTTCTGGACGCTTGCTTGCATAAATCTTGTATACGCGAACTGGATCTCTATCTTGAGGTAGTTCAGGCTTTTCATAAATTCTTGGCTTGATCTTTTGCGTATCTCTAGTGTCAGAACCAGTCGTTGTTTTCGTTTGTCGTTCAATAGAGTATTCTAAATACTTTTTCCATCTGAATTTTTCTTCAGAACGACATTTCCTTAAGTAATTTACGCTGTTCCTTCCCGCCTCTTAAGCCGAAGTGAACCGTCGTGCAGAGAGTGTTTATCAATGCTTGAGGACTTTCAATTCCGAGGCATTTTGCTTCATAGAGTATTTCAATTTCCTCATCAGTTAGTTGCTCAGATGTCATAGGTTTATTGCCAAATCCTTTCGCTTTTAGGTCTTTTGTTTTCTTTTGAGCCATGGTTCCTTTGAATTGAGCATCGTTAAAAATTGTCAAACCGTAGCTTTCTTTGCTCAAATATCATTGAATACTTGAAAGAAATCCTCGATTGCTCGTATTCGGAACTGTCTTTCTTTCTAACTCCATAAAGAAACTTAGACAGAAGCTCGTTTAAGACAGATGAATTCAGTTCATGAAGCAACCTATCTTGAAGCAAGTCGGCATGATTTTTTTTGGACGAACGCCTGGAACAGCTCCACACCATACATTGTTTTCCTCTTTGTGTTCACATTTTCCTGCTCTTCAAAAACCTCATTCAGCTCTTCATATGTTATATCAACAAATCTGCTTGATGCCATTGTTTTGTCGTTTTTTTAGCAAGGAAAAACACGAAAAAGCACAAGATATGTACAGTCTCGAATGGAAGTTGAAGCACTTGACACTGTGACAGCGCGCGAAAATACTGAAAGATGATTGGTCGAGAGTGATATTACACATGTGTGATATAAATGATATCTTTATGACTGGGGTAAGCTTTTTATTACTTTGATACCACTCGGTATACCATTATATGTTATATAATAAAAAATTATATATATACATATGTAATGTAGGGTTAAACACACACGTCTCAACTTCATATGTACCGAATTTGATTTATTCATCAAAAGGTTTCACAGGTATCTGATACACAATAAAATCCTAAAACAAAGAGCATTACATTACGATGGTACAATACTGCAAGCAAGCAATGGCAAAGAACTTACCAATTGATGAACACACTGCACGAGAACATAACACATGAAGCTGATGATCACATTACACTAACACTACAAATGACAACGTGCACACGACGTGACGCGACAGCGACATTAACTGGTTAGCGGACTCACACTGCACAAAACGGCGGGAAAACAGGAATTCTATACTGCTGAGCTAGTGGCCTCAACATCCTCGGGGGCTAGGCTCAACAAGATACATATTTTTCACATTGTTAATCAAGCTGTAACTAATCACTTGACAAGACTTCATCATGGCTTGTATCATGTTGAACAAACATCTGGTCATGACTAAGCAAATTAATGATGTATGTAAATCGTCCTATCTTTCACTACGTAACCTTGGAAAAATCAGGAACTATCTAGATCAAACTACCACTGAAAAACTAGTTCATACTTTTGTGTGCTCCAAAATTGATTTCTGTAATAGCCTCCTTTTTGGTATTCCGATGAAGCAACTTGACAAATTGCAACGTATATTAAATGCAGCTGCTCGCATTATTATTGTATTTGTAAAGCGCATTGAGAGTCTATAATGCGCTATATAAGAACATATTTATTACTCGGGCTACCTGTAAGGTAGGCCGAGTTTAGGTTTCGGTTTTGTATCAGTCTATCGTATGGTCGAGGTTTTACATGATGAATATGCATGCGATCGAGACAGTCATGAAAGCGAGGCGACGCACGAGTGCAAGTCATGTGACCTACATGTTGGGTCTGAGGTTTTCTTGCTCTCTGCTCCTCGTCGGTGGTTTGTTATGGCGAATTCCTTTTCTTCTGGGACACTCAAAATACACACAAACGCACACGCCGTTCGCGGTAGACCCACACTAAAAGATGTCGAGCGTTTTCGGAACGGGTCGGTCCACGAACTCAAAGCAAAATGCCAAAAGAATGCCAAAGATACCAGAAAGATTACCAGAAATGTGAACTCAAATGAAACTCAAATGAACTCAAATGGACAAACGTACAAACTTACTCAAACGTACTTAAACGAACAAACAATCACTAACTCTTTAGTAAGCAGGAACTTTATTGATAACTGCTTCGAAGATGATGGAGACAAAGAAAACATTCCATGTAAGCTGAAGATGGACGCCATATTGGAATCTTTCAAGACAACATTTCATGCCTTCCGCGAATCAACAAGCATTTTCATCGAGGATAAGTTTTTTATGTATTCTTTTCTTTTTGTTCTCAATTTTGGACAGTTTCTTCAACATTCTATCGTTCGTTCAACTATTAGTAGCGAGCCTGTTGTGCATGATGTTGATTTTAATTGTACATTTCATAAATGAGTCAACTAAGAGTTTGGTATACTCTTTGGAAARTGACTGTGATTTATTGGAAAAGGCTGTACAGTTATCTGTATTTGTTGATCACAATAAACTATTATATTTATTAGAGGATTGCAGGTCTCGTTATGCCAAATTTTATACTTCTCAGTACCGTGTTGAGCACAAGCCTCGTGTTGCTTCGCGTGATCGAGAACCAAGTAGAGTCCCTGTTGAACAACTCGCACGCCTTTTGCACAAAAGCAGAAA